GTGACATCAGCACCGCTGGCCTGCGTGACCCCCTCGGGTATGGGCAGGACCTCAGGAGAGCACCTAAATGTTGCCTAAATGGCCCAAAATCTTTCTGCGGAACTCCTTGGCGCTTTGGGGAGGTGCTGCCTCCCGCACAAGAAGCAGTGGGACCACAGGCTGGGGAGTCGTGGTGGGAATGGCCATTCTCTGAGGAAAACAACTGCCCCTCAGAGTCAGTGTCCTGAGCCTCGGTGGCGTAGGAAGCTGCCAGTGACCATGGGGCAGCTTTGGAGGTGGTGGGCAGGAGTGTTGGTCTGCTTGAGGGTAGAAAGGCTCCACAGAGGGGTCTGCACAGGCTGGGCTCATAGGCTGAGGCGGGTGGGGAGCACTGCCAGACTCATAGGCTGAGGAGGTTGTGAAGCACTGCAATAGGCTGCCCAGGGAAGTGGTGGAGTCCCTATCCCTGGAGGGACTGAAAAGATGTGTAGATGTGGCACTGAAGGACACGGTTTAGCAGTAGGCTTGGCAGTGCTGGGTTAATGGTTGGACTCAATCTTAAGGGTCTTTCCCAACCTAAACTATGAGTCTATAATTCTATTTCTGATCAGGTACCAACCTTGTGTCTTATCAATAGTGATTAAAAGCCATGGTGACATTTGCATGGTGTCACCATGGGATGCAAGAGCACTGGGGATGCTCTTTCCCATGACATCTATGAGTGAGAGGTCCTCTTTTCTGCAGAGCCATTCTCCCAGGGCCATGCCAGGAGTCCAGGAGCTTACAAGTCCTGGAACTCTTCAGGTGACATAGCTGGGCCATACAGCTATGTCTCAGCTTTTATCAGGAGAAGTCAACCCACTTCCCAATGACTGAAGGAAGACCCTCTGATAAGTGCGTTTCCTAAGAGTGAGTTTAGCAAAGAGGATTTAAATGAAGTGTCTAAACTAGATGTTGCTTAATGCTGCCCTTCCTTTCTACTGTGTAGGAGGTTCATTTCTTGGTGAGAGCTGTCATGTCACACATGCTGCAGAGGACCAGGTGTGTTTGCAGTGGTTTACGTTAACTATCGTAAGAAATAAAGGTGAACATTCCTGAGTAACAGCACAGTCCTGTCACAGAGAGATTTCCTTAGGGCCTAAGATCAGGGAGCTAAGCACATGACTGCCCCACCCCAAGCTGAACATCCAGATGAAAATGCCAAGATCTTCATCTAAGCTGGACTGGGGAAGTGGTGTTTCATCTCATGCCTTCTCCCAGTCGCTTTAAAAGAGGTATTGCTAAGTCAGTAGCCTGGGTTACAGAGATCAGCTCTCAGCCACATCATTCAGGGGTTGAATTGGTTTGAATATAGTCATCCAGGAGAAAATCAAAGTGGTGATACTGGCTTCACACTACAGCTCTTTGTGGCCGGTGAGGGGCCGGGGAACTTGCCCTCCTCCATCCACAGCCGCACAGGCATGTCTTTTCACCTCTGTCACCTCTGCTCACTGGCTGCTCCCCATCATTCCCCCATTTTTCATACTGTTCCCCCATCATCTCCCTTCCTATCTCTTTTCCCCATACAGTTTCCTCTTTCTTCTTGGCCTCTCTGAGGCATTACACTCCCAGACCCCTTGGCCTGATGCAGATCCCTTGGCAGTATCCCAAGGTCCCACCCCAAAACATGCCACGGCAGAAGACAAGGAGACACTTGTAAGTGCCTAAGGGTTTTATTAGCAGCCACATGCTTGGGTTCCCAACCCCACGGCAAGGGTGCTGGGGCAACGGGGTGGTGTCACGCTTCCTGCCCAGGTGTCCCCTGCATGGCTGGGTGGCAGGGGAGTGGGGTGGGAGGGGGTAGTGTGTCACTTGGTGAAGTCCGGGATGTCACAGCGGGGTCCCTGCCACTTGTCATAGCACTGGCAGCTGAACTCCTCTGCAAGCTGGGCGATGTCATTGTCGAACTCCAGGCTCTGGGCTACCAGCCAGGGCTTGCTGGCTTGTAGGTCAATGGCAAAGTGGCTAGGGTCAAGGTGGAGGAAGCTCTGCTTGTTCTGCTGGCGCACACAGCGGCCCTGGCCGGAGCACAGGCTCTGGCTGCACAGGTTGGCGCTGGCGGTCACATTGACAACGTAGTGGCCCAGGGGCCCCTCCACATAATCCTTAAGCCTCAGGCACATCTCCTGCAATGGCACACGGTGTCACAGCCCTGCACAGCTGGGGAACTAGGGGTCCCCACAGGCAGTGGAGTGGTGCAACCTGCTGCACTCACCTTGGAGGTGCTGTAGTTGAGGCTGCCCCAGAGGATGATGCCAGCAGCACCCTGAGCCGCACTCTCCCCGATGGTGTTCATGAGATCCTCCTGCACCCAAGGGGAGAGGAGAAGTCAGTGGTACTTAAAGGCCCCATGCCTCCCTGGTAGTGCTAAAGACACCTGGCACCAACCCATCAACCCAAGAGGTGCCCACTGTCCCCATCACCTGGGAGAGGAAGTCGACCGTGCAGTCAAAGGCGACCTGGGAGTAGGGCAGGACAGGGATGCTGTTGTTGCAGACACCATCCTGGACAGCAAACGCCTCGGCCACACGGTGCCGAACATAGGTGAGCACCTTGTCAGTGCCATTGAGGCAGGGGGGCAGGTAGATGCTGGGGTAGAGTGCCCGGCTGCTCTTCCAAAGCCACCACAGCTCCTTGTTCCTCTGCTGCTCCACCACCGGGCATGTCCCGTTGTAGGGCAGGCTGTCAAAGTCATCATTGTAGCAGTTGGGGAAGCCGTAGAAACCCCAGTAGCCATTGGGACGGAAGTTCTCACCCAGCTGCAGGGTCTGCTCCATGAACTTGTGGGCACTCTGCTCAAACTGCTGCTTGGCCAACTCCTTCACCAGCTCAGGAGGCCACTGCGGGTGCTGCTGCCACACCAGCTCCTCTGACTTCAGCTGGTAGACGTGCATGGAGGCCCAGTTGCGGATCCACAGTGGGCGCCACTTCTCCCAGTCGATGACAGCCAGCCCGCCATAGTCAGGGCTAGGCAGGGCGACCTTGATGTCCTGGGTGGTCTGGTGGAGGTGGGCCTGCAGGCTGGCATTTTGGGGGAGCCCCCCATTCACTGGCACGCCTTCATCTGTGTAGTAGGGCAGGAGCCCCAGTGCCTCACTGTAGAAGAGAGTGATGTCCTGCCCAGTGAAGGACTGCTGGTCGTTGGCCACCACGTCAAAGACCTCAAGGCTGAGGGAGACATTGTACTTCTTGGCACAAGGCTCAGTGGGGATGTTCCAGATGGTGACGAAGGGGCGGTTGACAAGGACAGGGCCGGCTCCCCCAGCATGTGTGTGGATGGGCAGGAGCAGCAGAAGGATCCAGCAGGACCATCCCAATGCCATGGTGCCAGTGGGTGCAGGATGGGTCCTGGAGCTACCTGCGGAGATCTAAGGCAAGCTGAGACCTGTGCATACCTCAACACTTTTATGCCCAACCCAATTCAGGGCTGGCATGAATCCACACCCCTGTCCCCGAGCAGTGCCAGTCACCCAGGGTCACTTCTCCCACCTCCTCACCTGAAGTCCCTAAAGTTTTCAGAGCCCTGCAGCCCTGGAGGGACGACAGCAGCG